TTCTGCTCCTGGCTTGTTCCCTGCCTGAATCACACTACAGTACTTGGATGCAGGAAAGCATATAAGTGCATACACCCTGCCCAGCCTTAGCTGGGTTCCAACATAGCACAGGGGAGGGGAAAGACTGGAGGACTCTTTTGGGCATGATACCCTGTCCCCACCTTCCCTGTCCCTGACAATTCCTGCCCACGTTCATTTAGAAAAAAATACTGCAAAGCTCTAGGCTGCTCTAGGGACCCCTGGCATCCCAGGGCATCTTTACACATGCTTCAGGGTTGTGGAGCAGGGTGGGAGGGTGGATGTTTTAATTAGAGCAGCTTTCAGGAGCTGCTCTAATTCAAATTAAAATGCCTGCAGCATCTTATGTATTCAGCACCCCACACTTCAAAATGGTGGTGGGGGTACTTTAATTAAGCTTCTTCAATGCACTTTAGCTAAAGCTCCCCTGCTGCCATTTTGAAACACTGGGATGGTGAATACATGTGATGGTGTTTTTAAAATGCTACAACTAAAATGTTGTAGCATTTTAGTTAGTTTAATCGAGTCTGCTCTGATGCATTCTAATTAGAACACGTCAGAAAAGGTGTTGGGCAAGTGTATACTGTGTCCACACTGCAGGCTCTTTGCTTCTCTGTTTGAACTTCTGTACAAATCCATTTTCTCTCAGGAAAACAAATATGGGAGAGTTATCTTGGATGATTTGATTGTGTATATGCAGCCTCTGTCACAGCCCAGAAACATAAAACACTATTTCTCATAAGCAAGAGTAGTAGACTGCATTAGAGACTAGATTCCACATAACACGCATGTAGTATACTGTTAATTAATGGGCTGGCTAGGGAGGATAGTGGAACCTGAGGGTTGGTAATAGAAATGGTTGAAAAGTTGGGGAAAAATACATCCCAAAGGGCTATTTCATAGCAATGAAAATACTTTTCAGAAGTTTACTGCTGTTGATTAAATTTAGCTGCAAATATGCTGAAGTTTTTAAAGTGGTAAAGTGCAGTAGAGTCAGAAATATATATGTAATGTATTTTAACTAAAACTAAAACCTTAAAATATGTTCACTTTACAACTTTGTTCAATCCCAAAGAAGATTTTATTTCAGAAAACGGACAGTTGCTGCTGTAATTGTTTTGTGGCTGCAACAATAGTGAATGATTCATGGCGGTTGGTATTTAAATTAGTGGAAAGCTCCTTGGAATTTTCTTCATGAGGGCAATGCTGAGATCTGTGGCAAATTTATTGTGACTGGATCTCCATTAGAGTATGAATCCAGTAAACACCAGGAAAGAATATGGCATCTCTAAGAATGGTCTGGGATCTATAGCACTGGCTTTACTTTCCTATGACTCAATAAGATCCTTGGACTTGTACTGTGCACATATTGTTCATTCTACGAGGGTTTAAGGGTTCCTGAAGTTCAAGTTCCATTTCCTTCTTTTACAACAAAAGTTGCCAGGGATACTGCAGATTTACCTTCTTGTAAGTAAGGTAATTGGGAGCTCTAACTACACACTGTAAGGGTTTCTTTTCAGTATTTATTCTTTGAAAACAGAAACTCCTATTCATTTTGTGAGATGAGGGTGGACGGATTTGTCCTCCAGTCTCTGCATAGACTTTGCAAGATTGAACAGTTGGGTTTTTTGGCATCTTAACAAAGTATTACCCATCCATCAAATCACTTGTAACTTTTAGGATTGTATAAGTGTAGAGATCTCCTCCCTCTACCTCCATCCCCCATCAGCATACAAGTAATCATTTTCAAATAAATTTTAAACTACATCATAAAATCATAGAGAAGTAGGGCTGGCAGGGACCTCAAGAGATCATCTAAACCAACCCCCTGCCTGAGGTAGGATCATCCCAATCCCAATCATCCAGTACAACTCCACTATCTAACCTCGTAGCAAAACTGCACAGCCAACCCTGACACAACATCAGATGTAATACTCTAACCTTTCTAAAGCAGGAGGACCACTATGGCCAACGTACTGCTGCTGTGAAGATTGTTAATATATGTTCAAGAGATCCCAGGAAAGGGGTCATGCCCCTCGCTACTGGAGAAGGCAAAAACCCCCAAAGTCCATACCAATCTGACCATGGGATAAAATTCTCTCTTAACCCCAAATATGGTGATCGGTCTGACCCGGAGTGGAAGGGAACACCTTCTAGTCAGAAACCTCCGACTTCAAATCCCAGCAGGAGCATTGTCACATCCCAGTCCCAATCCCCAGCCTTGGCTGCAGCCAATCCCCAATGCCTCTGAGGAAGGCTTAAAAAAGCCCTCATATTTAGCAGCCTGAGGGGGATGTAGGAAATGAGCTTGCCCCATGTGGCAAGCAGTAAAGCCCAGAAACATGGGAAATACTCATAGTAAAACATAGGCATAGCTATGCCTAGAGCATCCCTGACCAGTGGCTGTCCAAAGTCTTCTTAAACACCTCCAGTGATGGAGAAATCACAGCTTCCCTAGGCAGCCTATTTCGCTGCCTAGCTCTGTCCGCCTCTTCTTGTATGACTTGCCTTCCAAGACCTTTATCATTTTTGTCACCCACCTCTGGACCCTCTCTAACTCCCATATCCATTTTAAAATGTGCAGCCCAAAACTTCACACACTGCTCTAGATAAGTCCTCATCAGTGCCAAGTAGAGAGGCACTGTCACCTCCCATGTCTTGCATCTAATGCTCTCATTGATGCATCCCAAAACTACATCTGCCTTTTGTGCAGTTGCATCACACTGCAGACTTACATTGAGTCTGCAATCTGCCAAGACTCCCGGATCCTTCTCTGTAGTACTGCCAACCAGCCGGGAGTCACCATTTTGTATTTGTATTTTTTATTACTTTTCCTGAGGTGCAGCACCTTGCATTTGTCAGCACTGAACTTCATCCTGTTAATACCAACCCAGCTTTCCAATCTGTAAGGATATTTCTATCATCATTTCACTTTCCATCACTGAAAGTGAAAACAAGTTAGGCACCGAGTATCCCAAGCCTGGGAGAAGCCAGGCCAGTGACCATACCCCACATCTACCCTAGTCTTGTCCCTTGGTATACAATGACACTTCCTCCTATCAGGTACTTCACCCTGTATCATACAAGGAGAGGTAACATGAGTGCAATAGCAGCTGGTTTTAAGGCATGTCTGCACTGCCTCTTTGTTGAATCTGGGAGTGCTGCCAAGAAGCATGCCCTGCCCACTTGTTCCCGCTGGCATGTATCAGAGCCCAGATATTGAACATCAGAGCAAATTTACCACAGCCCTAAGCATGTGCCAAGAAGCACATCTGAGACAAAGGCCAAGCATGGCTCTGGCTGTGTCAAGCCAGTTACACTGCCTAATTTCTAGGCGCTGGGGCATATGAGGAGGAGCAAGTGGGCAGGATTACTCTGTGGTGCTCCTGGATTCATCACAGTCTTTCTGAAATGAAACCCCAAAGTAGCTACATGGGTCATAGTGGACCAAAGAGTGGCATAGCAGTAGAGAGATCCAGGAGCACTGGAGAAGTGAGGAAAGGAGATGGACTAACAGCATGGTTAAAACAGGATAAAAACAGAGATGACCTTAGTGAAAGTTCTCACTTTACAATTCCAGGGCTCTAGAGACCTTTGCATTTTAAGAGCTGGTCTCCCAGTGGCCCCAAAACTGTATAAGACCAAGAGAAATACAAGAATGTTCTTTCTAATTAACATCCTAGTAGGATTTTTCTACTTACTTAAAACACTTTGTGCTGTTTCAATATTCCAAATGAAATGTTTTCTCCTTTACTGTCTGGCTGGGAGTCTGGCCAGAAAAAAGACAGATGCTTCAATGTTTTCCTTTTTCCAAACCCTTTCTTTAGAAGAACAAATTCTCTTGGTTTTGCCTGTGTTCATGAGCTTTGATCTGGGAAGAGAAAAGAAAAATCAAGATTTTCAAAATAAAACACATCAATTTTTTTCTAGTTACTGCCAGAATTCTCTCTTTAGACATGGCTTTTGTCACATACACTTGGCACAGTAAAGACGATTGCTCTACCTACGTCTTGCTCGGGGGTCTTAAATGGAGCCCTTGTTTTGATTCAATATATTCCGTATTGAATCTTTAGGTAAATCAAACTGCAATACATTCAGTTCCAAAAAGAAATAAAGCTGCATCCTCCAGCTGCTCCAGGGAGTCTAATTATTCTGACATTTTGTATTTGACTGAAATTTTGGGCAGAGGGGAAAATATGGTTTTATTTAAATGATTTTCTTTAACAATGTCTGTATGAAGTCTGTTAACTGTCTCGATTCTTTTCACTTGGTTTATAGCTTTTTCAGCCCCTATCAGCTCGACAAGTATATTATTAAGCCACCATCCAAATCTGTAAGCCATCAAATGTACTATCTAAACCTATAGTGGCAGAACGGACATTACTACAGTGTGCATATACATTTCACACAGGGCCTCCTTGATGAAGTTCCTACACTCTGCCACCTCAGTTTTCAGGGTCTCTTGCTGTATTGACAAAGATAAGGGCTCTCCTGTTGTCCCAACTGGCATTTTTGCCAGTCATCATACCATGTTGTGTTTTTTTTTTTTTTGGGGGGGGGGGGAGGTTGTTTCCTCAGATAAGTTGAACCCCCAACAAATGCAGTCTTAGTTTACCAAAATGTGCTTTTTCCCCTTACAAAAAAAGCTTTAGTGACTCGGAGTCTCTCACTAGTCCTAGCCACTTAGAGTAAAAACCTATATAAGTGCCAAGACATTACTATTCATTTATTAAGTATCATAAGTACACACCGAATGACACACAGTAGAATTATTCATTAGTCATAAAATCACTATACGTGTAGAGTGTAAATATGTATGGTCCAATTTAGCACTCCGGTTTTCTCCTGATATAATATAACAGAGCTATATCACTATATAGTTGGAGGATGACAGTGATGTAGCCCTGTAGACGATGATGTCATCTGCATATTTACTGTAAGTGTTATGATGAAAGCAATAATATTTTTACTTCTTTTGTCAGGTTGGATTTTTGGTTTTTTTAAGGCTCCTTGTTTTTCATTTGTCTGGTCAATTGGAGGTCTCTGAAGAACAGATAGATGGGCTTCAAATAGGATTAAATGGTAGAGTATTACATATTTTCTATATAGGGAAAATTTCTTGAAAAATGCCCTTTAACTACCTGGGAACTGTAAATAAGCTAGGAATCAGTTTTGTTAAACAAGGTAAATAGTGAAGGTCATGTCTATAAGTGAAAAGGAAGAAAAAAATCAGAACAACTCTGCACCCCTGTCTTACTAAATGTAAGTTAGTCAATATAGTCTCAGGGCACGTGCCAAAAATTTCCTGTATCTTGTGATTTTTAAGCCTGTTGACTGGTCTCAGTAGATATTGCATTATATGTAGAAATGCTGAAAATTTTAAAAGAAGTTGAATCAAATCAACTTATTTACATCCACTTTGGAATTTGATTGATGTTAATTACTCATGAAATCCACACACAAAGCTTTCTTAGACATTACCATATATTTTAGGTGATGAAAGGTCATTGCTATAAATAGAAAAAAATCGACATTACAAAATCCTTAAGTATCTCTATGGTACTGTAGTGACATATCATCCAATCCTGTAAAGTGCTGAAAACCTTATTTAGAGTGCTGAGTACCTAGAACTCACATTGACCACAACGGGGAGGGAGGATGCTCATAGACTTAGGCTCCTATTTATTTATTTATTATGCCAGCACTGCTGATAAAACAGACCTAATGACAGGCATTCATATTATATTTCAGAGTTTTTTGCCTTTACGTATGCTGGATGCAGTGAATCAGTAGGCTGCTGCTGTAGTAAGACTGCAGAGGCATTGCAGTCTTGCTACTATCATTGGTTGCCATGGCCACAAGTAATACACAAAATGAAGAACAAAGAATCAGATGTTTAAAAAAAAATAATTACCCACTTTTTCCCCACTGGTGTACCTTTCCCAGTAGTGTACCTTTTTATATTACAAGCTTTGTCCACAGTGGTCTATTACAGACAATGTATAAATACAATAATAGACATCTTCACAAAAGAACTTCCTGTACCTGCCATTCTTAAAGTAGTACTTACACTGATATGCAGTGTCCAGTATCTTGGCTTACAGGCAGTCATACTTTCTTTTAGGCAACCACTGAGGTTATGTCCTCTGAAAAAACCCTCTCTTTCATGCAACTGAATACATTAAATTAAATCTCTTCTATGTCAAATACATTTTAACAGGAATCAAGCCACATTTGCATTACAGAAATCGGCATATGAATACTAAATATGACACTTCAAGTATTATCAAATGACAAAAATATTTTGAGAAAAAAGTTACACTTTTGTTTAGAAAAGTTAAATTTGGTTTGCCAGCAGTCAGCCAAAAATACATAGTTACCGAATAACTGACATAACAAGAGAGATTTCACATTATGATTCATTATTACCTGGGAGCCTCATAGCTTTGTTCAGAGTTAGCCATAGTTAATTAGGAACTCAGTCATTATGGTAGACTTCAGCTGTATGTAGTTTGTGGGTTATGTAAGTTACTAGCTATGAATCATACCTGTAGTATTTTGTTGCACCACAAGAGGTCACACAATATTTATAAATCTACCCTATGGTAAATCTGATAGTGGTCTATCAGTAAAATAGTAAAGGCAAATCTCATATAATAAGAAAAAGCCAAACAAAACACACTGTAAAACAATAATAAGATAATATTCACCAAATTATTTTTCATGCCATAGCATTTTCACTTAGTGAACTACGCTACTTATCATTTCCAAACCTCTTCCTGGCTGTGAATTTTATGCGGGAGTCTGGAGAAACCATATGTGGTGCTGTGGTACTTTCTGAATCATTATCAGCATCTGATGTAAGCTTGGAAGGTCGACAGGATCAGACTCTTCTTGGCACGGTGGGTAACATAATCGGATGATGTATGATGCATCAGATAGGATTACTGTGATCAAATAAGCATGCCTGGCAGTTCTGTGAAAATTATTAAAGCTGAGCTTAACTGGACAAATTGCCAATAGTACAGTAAAATGATAAACAGAATAGACTTTAATTTGGAGAGATTGCAGTCTGGATTTGTAAAACAGATCCTTTCATGAATTCACCATCCACATTTTTAATACAATTAATTATCAGTGTAATTAACTAGTACAATTGGAAGAGTCCCCTTTACACATTCCATTTTTAGGACAGCTTTAACTA